AATTTGGTGCAGTACAGGATGGCAAGTTGAGGGTTTTTAAGTGGCCTGAGATGGAGATTACTCTTGATGAGGCTAATGCTCATGCTTCTGTAAAGGATTTAGATTTCAGGTTCAAATTTGCTTAGTAGTTAGCCTCAAACTTTTGCATTGCAATGTTAGGAAATGTTTTTTAAATAAATATTTCAAAGAAATTCGTATTTCATAACTTGAAGTGTTTTGATTGTAAGCTTTTTTTTCTTTTTTTTTTTTTCCTTGCAGCCCTGATGGGAATTTTCTTGCCTCTGTGGGAAGTGGCCCTGGAAGAATTTGGAAAGTCGCAACAGAAACATCTATAGCTTCTCTACCAAAGGAAAATGTAAGATTATTTTCATTCTGAGACTTGTTAAAAATGTTTTTTCTTTTTTTTTTTTTCCTGGGGATATCCTGCATGTAAATAGCTTTTGGTAATATAACATACTTTCAAAAATGTTTTAGATGTGTTCCTTTTTTTATTTATTTTTGGTTCTTATGTCATGACATTCATTTTTCTGACTGGATTTTTTTCACCTACTCCAGGATGAGATTTTTGGCTTTTGTAGGTTCTCGCGATCTGGTGACTCCAATCCAGTTCTGTATGTTACTGCAATGCGAAGTGAGTATCTTCCAGCAATTAATTCATCCTACCGCATGGGAAGTGTTTTTTACTTTTGTCAATAACTCCCCCTGTTTTACCTGTTCAGGTAAAGGTGGTAGTATTGTTAAATGGGAAACTACTTCATGGAAGAGGATAAGTTCAACTCACATTGTCAGGGACCCAATTTCTGCATTTAATGTGTCATCTGATGGAAAGCTCCTTGTAGTGTAAGAAATTTTTATTTTATTATTTTTTCATGTCTTGCTTTTGTTTCTGTGGTGGAGCCTCGAAGGTACCATAATGGGTATTAAAACTGTTTTTAGCTCTGCAAAAAGTGTTCCCTTTTTGACTGCTTGAGGGGTGAAGTGTGCAATCTAATGGAGTTTTGATCAACATAGTTTTTTATTAAGATAGTTATCTGGTGAAAGCATACTGAGGTTTTAGGAAGCACTATACTTACCCTTTTCTTTTTTTTCTTTTTTTTTTAAAATAAAAACAAAAGATGTATGGAATATCTATTAATCTCAACTTCGACCTTGTAAAATTGGAAAAAATATGTAAAATTCTTTCAGATATTTTCATTGGCTTCATCATTTCTAACTAGTAAACATGCAGAGGAACAATACAAGGAGACATTTGGATCATAAATTCTGCAAGTATGCGGGTGCAAAGTGTAGTCAGAAAAGCACATCTTGGCCTTGTAACAGCGTTAGCATTCTCACAAGATTCAAGGTTGTAAAGTCTTATACTTTAGCACGAAACCTTTCAATCACTTTAGTATGCTCGTCCCTTTTGTAAACTTGAACTAATTCTGAAGTATGCCATGTCAACAGGGCTTTGGTATCGGCATCCCTAGATTCAAGTGCCCGGGTAACACCAATCGAGGATAAGAAGAAAGACGGTATGATCCCTTCTTGATCTCTGATATTAGCAAAATAAATTTGATGAAAAAGTGATAAATATCGGGAATATTATCCTACACCAAGTAATCAAGGACTGGTGCAATGATGAAAATGTTATTTTATTGGGAGATCGATCCCAACAGATCTTTATAGGTTTCCTATTACTAGGTATTGCATATTAATTATATAAATAATCATTAGTTTAATTGACCATTCAGGTGGTTTCAAATTACAAATTCTTCACATTAAATGTTAATTTCTAAATTATGTTTGTCGATCATTTCGTTCACTATTCTCGCTTGCCAATTAATGTATGTGATTTTGCAGGATTGAACTTGTGGTTCATTCTTTTTGTCATCTTAGTTGCGGCAGCTGTATATTATGGTAAAAGCACAAGGGCTGTTTCGTGGGAGCCTTGATTTTTGAATCAAATGGTTTGAGCTACTTGCTCCACGTTTCAATTCTTACGAGCCCGTTTAAGGCTATTAACACTGTTAGCAGATTGGATTATTCAATTACACCCATGGTTCCGTATTCGAAGAGTATATCTCTTTGTGATGTACAGATCCATCCTGGTTGATGGCTCCACATGACTCTAATTTGATCTCCAATAATATTATTTGCTTCACTGTATTTTCCGGTTCTTATTAATAAGATAAAATATGTTACTGTTTGATGTGAATCAGTTCAACTCTTAGTGGGGTGGGCATTTTAACCGAAATCATACTTATTGATCTGAAATTGTTTCAGTTCGGGTTTTAAAAAAATAATTTGGGATCTGGAATAAAAAATCGAAAATCGACCTGGTTCGAATTGGTTTTTGGTTCTTGAATCGGAATTATGTGTACTCGACTCTAAAATTGAATGTTATTTTTTTTATGAATTTTTATTTTTAAAAATTTATTCTACATAAAACAGTGATTCCATCCCCACAAGTACAAGCTTGGCTCGCGTTGTAAGTAACTAAACAATTAAATTCATTTATTTGAATAATTGAATAATATCGATTCAGTTCCTCATCATTTTTCGCACTTCACATGTTGTCCGTCTGACAAACCTTTCTTTGGGTGTTGATGCAAAGCCACAACGGAAATTGGGTGTCATTAGGCTGGGAGGGTGTTTTGATACCCATTTTTATGGAAAAATAATTTTTAGAATAATAGATTGATGTAGAATATGCAGATAAAAAATAAGAATTTTTTTTTATTGATGTGTAATATTATTTTAATGAAAAATGTGGTTATATATATATATATATATATATATATATATAATTGGGTGTCATTAGGCTGGGAGGGTGTTTTGATACCCATTTTTATGGAAAAATAATTTTTAGAATAATAGATTGATGTAGAATATGCAGATAAAAAATAAGAATTTTTTTTATTGATGTGTAATATTATTTTAATGAAAAATGTGGTTATATATATATATATACTAGATATTGAAAAAAATAATTTGTATTTTCTACTCAATTTATTTTTAAAAAAATGTTATGAGTAGAACCGAACCAAACTCAAACCAAAACTAATTCGAACCAAAATAAATGACCTGAAATATAGTTCCATTCATGACCTGAATAGTCTCAATAATTACGTTGACCAAAATAGTTCCATTCATGACCTGAAATATAATGATGATTCCCGGTATTAACATACCCGGATTGACCCATCCGATGCCGAGGACTAATTTTCACAACAGATCTCATACAAGCAGAGCAGAGCCTTGTGGTCGAAATTGCATGAAATAATCACAAAACAACAAATATTTGTTCTCCTGTATAAAACTCAGCTGCCATAGCGGTATCTACAAAGAAAAATGAATTCATAGTGCAAAATGCAGTCAAATTTGGTGCAAACCAGCCAGTTAAAAGGTGATGGCCAGAGTTGGAAGCATACATTGTTTAGTGCCTAGTTTGTTGAAGCAACATTTTTTTGTTGAGGTTAGCGAATTGTTAAATAATCATAAGAATGCTTCGGGTAATGAATTAAGTCACTAAGCATGAAGAGTCATTGTCGCTTCCTTCGATATAGTGAATATCCAACAAAAGCGGACATTAGAAATGTCCATAGCACCTGCAGCAATAAAGTAAACAATTAAGATAAATGATCTCTTTTTCTGAGAAGTGAAAAAAAGGGGATATGCAATTGTTCTCGAAAGATGACGAGGGCAACAAGTTTTAGGGAAAATTTAGAGGTTACAGTATTAATTGTGTGCCATCTTTCGAGCCTTTTGATTCTCGACTGCATGTCTTCAATTATGCCTTCCAAAGGTGAAGCTTCTCTACTTGGTGATGACTCCGAAGATGAACTGCTACCCTATTTGAAAAAAAATGGAATCACATTAGAACATGAGAAAACTACAATTTATATCCATGCTGTTATTGAAGAAAAGTAAAATCTGGTCATCAACAAATGTGAACTTCATGTAAATTTCATTCAAGTATAGAAATCTTTTCTGAAAAATTAAATGTGCTGTCCTCTCATTTCATTCCTTCCAAACTAACCTAGAATTTAGCCCATTATACCTGAAGCACTAATTGCCCAACATCCGAAATCCCTCCTAGGAATACTCAGGAGACTCAAAATAGTTAATAAGATACCACTACTCATTAACATTCTCCTCATGTCTTTAGACATATAGCACCATCTGAATATTCTCTTCCCTCCAAATTATCATGAATCGAAAAGGACTCCATAGCAGCAGTGAAAACAAAGAAAGTGAGCTTTGGAGGGTGTTTACTTCCCCAAATGACAATCTGATTACCATTCATCACAGCAGTATCAAAAACAGAGGCTTCTCTATCGCTAGCTGCTCTAAAGAGATTGAAGGTATCCTTTGAGAGCCATTTTCACACCATTATCTAATCAAAACCTGATTCTTTTACATTAGCTACAGCAAAAGCAGTTTTAACAGTGTGATCTTATGTTCATAAGGCTCTCCATGAACCCCACCTATAAGGATCTCCACATCATGTAGTTTTCCAATCACTCCATACTCAAAGACGACTATTCTCCTCCAATAACATCGCTTTCTTCTTAGCTAACTCCACAACATTTTTCCCAAAATAGGTCAATTGAAACTAGAGATTCAAAGCTCCTAACAAGGGGTAACATTCTTCACCACATCCCAGTCGACTACTAACAAGAACAGAGTTTTGTTCCCAATAAACATCTAGTTGGCTACTGAAATGCTTTTTCTTCACTATTCAGTCCATAGCAACCTGCCTTCCTCTACTGAAAGCCATGAAGCAAGGATACGAACATGGCATGACATGGACATACAATTTAATTTCAAAAGAGCAGGACACAGACACATCAAATAGATTTTATTATTATTATTATTATTATTTTTTTTTTTTCAATTTTTACATTGTAACATTATCTTTATTTCTTAATTAAATATCAATATTTTTTAAATTGGATTTTTTCATTTTACAAGTAAAATTAGCTGATTTAGAGGGTGGCTATTTGTTGAAGGGTAATTATATTTACACAACTTTTGTTTACTACCCTACATTTTAATTGCACTAAAGATCCCAACTTTGCTCAACATTTATGTTCCCAACCATTTTTTCTTGCATTCTCTTCCTCAACCTTCCATTAATTAGTATATCTTATCCTTGATGAGGGTTTATCCAAATATTCACTTAACATGCTTTGAAACGAAAGACAAATATTCAGTCGAACTTCTATAATCATTTATTTTTTCTTATAAAAATATAAGGAGCAAATAAGTCTTTTACACCCTCATTCATAATGGATTTTTTGGACGGAAATTGTTATTGGGATAAGATATGCTAATTATTGAAAATTGATGATAAGAATGCGATTAAAAAAAAAAAAAATTGTAGACAAGTGCGACAATAAGCAAATGTTATGGACCTTCACTACAATTAAAAAGTGATGTAACAAACAAAAATTGTGGTGCAAATATAACCATATATTCCTAACAAAGAATAGTTTTGAGGAGGTCTAGGAAAGTTGAATTAAAATCCCAATATTTGGTTGTAGACATAATTCGGAGGCCTTTTTTGGTGGTTCGATATTTTTGAAGAATGCTTTGCACAACATAGAATGAGCAAAACACAACAACCCCCATTATATAGGATTTATTTGTTTCTGGAGCTAATTTTATTGGAAGAACAAGATTTTTATAATATTTGGTAGGTACAAATAAATATGTTATGTGTATGACATGGTTCTTTGTAATAATGCTTCACATCTTACACCCTGAATAGTTCTACTCGAATGCATATGAATATTGAGGAAACTTTGACTGCAATAATTATCTAAAAACTAATTATTCCTAAAACGAAAGGGCGTGATTTCATTGTTAAGGTGGGAAAGATTGGAACTGGTAGTGATTTGCCCTACAGAATTGCTGTACATCGTGGAGGAGAAGGCCTTATTTGTTCATTGCCTAAGAGCTGCAGGTACGTTCAGTTGCTTTATTTCCATGTGAAATTCGCAATCATCTACTCGAATGCATATGAATATTGAGGAAACTTTGACTGCAATAATTATCTAAAAACTAATTATTCCTAAAACGAAAGGGCGTGATTTCATTGTTAAGGTGGGAAAGATTGGAACTGGTAGTGATTTGCCCTACAGAATTGCTGTACATCGTGGAGGAGAAGGCCTTATTTGTTCATTGCCTAAGAGCTGCAGGTACGTTCAGTTGCTTTATTTCCATGTGAAATTCGCAATCATGTTATGACCAAGATTGTCTTTCCAATGCTGAGAGAAGTTGAATTTACTCAATTGATGTTCAAACGGAAATTTGAAGCAACCCCCCCCCCCNAAATTTACAACACCCCCCCCCCCCCCCTCCTTCTTTTCCGTGTTTTCAGTTTTTTACTTCCCTTCTCTTTGTTGGGTAGGAAAGGGGAATGTATGAGAACTTGATTTATTGGCATAATGGAAAGAATGAAAAAAATGTATCAAGTTATTGTTTTTCTCTTCAAATTCTTATTTTTTATGGATTTTTTTATACTATTTTGTTAATGGAGATGTAGAAATCTTATGGCCTATGCAGTTATATACCAAGAAGATATGTTTCAAATTTTAGGGAAGTGATTGATAATGAATATTATTCATCCTGGATTTAGATGCATATTGGGTCATTTCATTTAAATCTTTAACAATCTTAATTTCTTCAGCTCCTTAGGAGTTAGTTGTCCAATTTTTATTTATTTATTTATTTATTTTTATTTTTTTTGTAATCGCATTAATAACTTCAATTTCTTACATGAGTACAATCTGACTATAACCTTTATGTGAATAATTAATTGAACAAGTATTTGAGACTTGAATAATTGCAATGTGCTTGTTTGATTGATAATGGTGCGAGGCCATGGCCTTGCCACATACTGAGGGTGATTATACTCATTGGATCTTTCTGAAGGCATCATCAACCATGTGGAAGGTTAAGTCTAAGTTATAACTATCAGGATCAATTTAGAAAGTTCCCTGTGCCCAAGAATAAGAATAAAAAGTGAAACAAAGAAAAGTGGGCTTGAATTTTTTATTTTGTTGCACCTTCCTGTATTCTGCGTCGAAATATCATTTTGTTTTCTAGCTTGGTTGTAATATTATCCTGTTGTGTACGATTTACTTATATGTCATTTCATCAAGTTTAGGATTACAATATAATTGTATATAATGCTATATAAAAAGGTTTTAAATATTTTATGCATCGACTACATAGCTTGAGAGCTGAAATAATTAATTCTTTTTGCATTTTGTCTTTTCTTGATAGATTCTGTTTAATGTTTGAAAAAGAGTATCTTTACAATCTTTTTGTGTTTGGCTTGCAAGAATGTTATGGAACCAAAAATGTCTTCTCCTATTTCATGTAAAGTGCATCCTGCAGAAGTTGTAGAATTTGTGAAAACTTGTGGTGTGCAATATCTTAGTTAGCCATACTTCTTTTATCTCTAAGTTTTGAAAATCCCATTAAATGCTCAGTGAAAAAAAGAAAAAGAAAAATTGTTAATATTTTCTGTAAGGCATAGCAAAGTATCTTGAATAAGTTATTCTTTCATATATAGCTATAAACAAAGCTTCAATGACGATCTTATGAATTACATGAGTAATCATGCAGATGGTTTGACTGGGATTCAACTACGAGCAAAGATGAGCATTCTTTGAGCCTGAAATCATCTGAGAAAGTTCTTGAGAAATTGGAAGATGTTGGCCAGCAATTAGCACTGACATTTAACAATGAGGGTACTTTACTTGCTGTTGGGGGTGAGGTAAAGAACTATAGATCTTTTCGCTAATATTTTAAAAGTGCCAATGTTGTAGAACAATGAAGAGTCACATTTGCAACGTGAGAAAGATATTAAAAAGAATATGCCATTTTAGTTTAGTTTTACAGGATGGCATTAGTCACAGGATATTTTTTCATCTTTACTCGAGGCGGACCAAATTTTATGGTACATTTGAGCACTAGCCATTTTTTGACAATAAATAATTTTTGAATGAGAGAAAAATACGAAGTGGAATTATGTTTTGAATTGTTCATCTGTAAACTGTTACCATTATACTTCAAAATCTTGCCTCCAGTACTGGGTTGTTGTTTATCGAAAAATTTGTACAAACAATGATAGCTGTGATATAATTATCATTAGCACAATGATGTCTATGTTCATAGCTAAGATCTAAGAAATGTCTTCAATTGGAAAGTCAAAGATTTGGTCGTTCACGTGAGTATTTGTCATCTCTAGTTGGATTCTGGTTTAGGTAATTGACATTGGTGTTATTTTAATTCCTCAAGATAACAATCTCAAAGCCAGCCCTCTATTTCTTCTCAGGTTATGGTTCAGAGCTTAATGTTCTCTAACTGAGAATTCGAAGTGATTACTTGATATGTGTTGTAAAATATTACTTTTAACACTAGGCTTGGTTGTTATGCAGGATAAGAAAAATGTCCTTTCTGATGAAATGCAAGTTATATATAAGACTTAATAATCAGTATATTAATTTGTTTTGGATGAGTTGATCGAGCCTTCCTGGTTGTCACACACATTATGGTCATCTTATTTTTGTCTTATGAGCTCTTAGCATTCTTCGTGTCAATTTGAAAGAAATAAGTTTGGTGATTGGGGAATGCATTCGAAATATTCCACGTATTAACTTATATTTGCTAAGCTGCTGGACAAAATTAGTTTCCCCCTTTTTGGGCAGGAGTAGGGGGATAAAGATATTCCACGTATTTAATTTATATCTAACTTATTTAAAGGCCCGTTTGATTCTCATTTTTATCAAAAAGCATTTTTCTCTTATCTTCTTTTTAATCACACATTTTTCATTAAAATAATATTACACGAAATAAAAAACTTTTCCTTATTTTTTCATCCACACATTCTCCATCAATCTACTAATTCTAATATTCATTTTTTTTCATAAAAATGGGTCTCAAACACTCTTTAAATACGAATTTCTTTGAAATATTTATTTAAAGAACATTTCCTAACATTGCAGTGCAGGCATGGGTGTCTTCTTTATGAAAGAACATTATTGTTTGCTATTTTAATTATTTAAATTTGGTGCAGTACAGGATGGCAAGTTGAGGGTTTTTAAGTGGCCTGAGATGGAGATTACTCTTGATGAGGCTAATGCTCATGCTTCTGTAAAGGATTTAGATTTCAGGTTCAAATTTGCTTAGTAGTTAGCCTCAAACTTTTGCATTGCAATGTTAGGAAATGTTTTTTAAATAAATATTTCAAAGAAATTCGTATTTCATAACTTGAAGTGTTTTGATTGTAAGCTTTTTTTTCTTTTTTTTTTTTTCCTTGCAGCCCTGATGGGAATTTTCTTGCCTCTGTGGGAAGTGGCCCTGGAAGAATTTGGAAAGTCGCAACAGAAACATCTATAGCTTCTCTACCAAAGGAAAATGTAAGATTATTTTCATTCTGAGACTTGTTAAAAATGTTTTTTCTTTTTTTTTTCCTGGGGATATCCTGCATGTAAATAGCTTTTGGTAATATAACATACTTTCAAAAATGTTTTAGATGTGTTTCTTTTTTTATTTATTTTTGGTTCTTATGTCATGACATTCATTTTTCTGACTGGATTTTTTTCACCTACTCCAGGATGAGATTTTTGGCTTTTGTAGGTTCTCGCGATCTGGTGACTCCAATCCAGTTCTGTATGTTACTGCAATGCGAAGTGAGTATCTTCCAGCAATTAATTCATCCTACCGCATGGGAAGTGTTTTTTACTTTTGTCAATAACTCCCCCTGTTTTACCTGTTCAGGTAAAGGTGGTAGTATTGTTAAATGGGAAACTACTTCATGGAAGAGGATAAGTTCAACTCACATTGTCAGGGACCCAATTTCTGCATTTAATGTGTCATCTGATGGAAAGCTCCTTGTAGTGTAAGAAATTTTTATTTTATTATTTTTTCATGTCTTGCTTTTGTTTCTGTGGTGGAGCCTCGAAGGTACCATAATGGGTATTAAAACTGTTTTTAGCTCTGCAAAAAGTGTCCCCTTTTTGACTGCTTGAGGGGTGAAGTGTGCAATCTAATGGAGTTTTGATCAACATAGTTTTTTATTAAGATAGTTATCTGGTGAAAGCATACTGAGGTTTTAGGAAGCACTATACTTACCCTTTTCTTTTTTTTCTTTTTTTTTTAAAATAAAAACAAAAGATGTATGGAATATCTATTAATCTCAACTTCGACCTTGTAAAATTGGAAAAAATATGTAAAATTCTTTCAGATATTTTCATTGGCTTCATCATTTCTAACTAGTAAACATGCAGAGGAACAATACAAGGAGACATTTGGATCATAAATTCTGCAAGTATGCGGGTGCAAAGTGTAGTCAGAAAAGCACATCTTGGCCTTGTAACAGCGTTAGCATTCTCACAAGATTCAAGGTTGTAAAGTCTTATACTTTAGCACG